ACCTCCTACTGCATGCCTCCTTCAGAAGAGTATGCCTTATCTACTGAATACTGAATACTGAATACTGAATACTGAATACTGAATACTGCGTTCAACAGTAGTATGACGTATGACTCCCAGTCCGTGGTTATTCTGCAGTAAGTTGGATGCAGAAGTAAAAAACAGTCCAGCTGATGTTAAACGCTGCTACAGTGTAGCATCCACTCACAGTCTGAAAATAAAGCTGACAAGTGATTTGTTTTGATTTTCAAGATTTAGAGAATCAGTGGCTCGTTTCGATCTCCGACCTGTCGCTTTGAATTGTCAGAAACAGTACGCGAGGAAGACTGGTCTGATGCATACTGCACACTGCATACTTTCCAGACACTTAGTTACTTTAAAAAAAAAAATTCAGATCTGTTTTGGGCTTTTTGTGCCTTGTATTGGAGAGATAAGACAGTGGATAGAGACGGAAATCAGGGAGAGAGAGAGTGGGGAATGACATGCAGAAAGGGAGCCACAGGTTGGATTTGAACCATGGGCTTGGAGGACTATAGCCTCCGTATATGGGGTATGCGCTCTAACCACTGGGCCACCAGCGCCCCTACTTAGTCACTTACTTTAACTCGTAAATGTTTGTCCCTTATGATAGATAGAAGTTGCCAGCATCAGTGATGTGCCTCGTTTTCTTTTAAAGTCTGCTTGGATTCAGATTGTAACACTGGATGCTTTTCTGCCTCAATAAGGAGAGTAATGACATTTATTTATCCCACTTTAGTCTTTGTTTAGAACCACATGTTTTCGGTTTGCACACATTTTTTCTGGCTAATTGCTCGTCTTTGTTTTTCTGCAGCCTGAAGTCTGTCACTAAAGTGTGAAATGCATGCAGCTCGTCCTCATCAAAGGGAATGTGTTCGTTAACGTAAGACGGCATACGCTCTCTTTAAACACTAAAACGATGTTTGGAGTTTCTTCCTAATTGCTTTCCATTCTAATTACACAAGTTATTTCTAAAGTGGGAGGAGGATGTTGTTTTTTTTTCTACTTCCAGTCTATAACTATGTATCCTTTCCCTGAAGCTGACCTGGTGGCTCACCAATCTCATTGTCATAATTACCGTCATCACAATCGCTATTATCTTAATTGGCCTTATCTCCTCGTTAGCTGCTCGTTAGCTAATTGACTCAGAAAAAAATCCCACCAATCGCTTTGCGCAGCTAGACAAAAGGCGACAGACGGAGATCAAGAGGAGACATCTGCCTGTCGAGAGAAGAGGAAACTACGTCGAGCTCCAGCTCATCTGTCGCAGTAATGACTGTCTCAACAACTGTACACAATTATGTGGAGGAAAAACTAGTGCTGCCATCGACGCCACACAACTCACACAGTACTACACACACACACATACACACACATTCAGACACAACGCGCACTTTCTCTTCCTTTTACTTATTTCATAAAAATACCCAAACACAGACAAACACAGCTACAGAGCTGGATGCAATTATACACCTGGTAACACACACACACACACACACACACACACACACACACACACACATTCCATTGAGCTTCTGTGTGTCAAAAAGTCAATTATAGGACATACATGGGGAAAAAAATGCTGTAATGTACAGCCACAGATCTGTGTGGAAAAAAGGAGAAACAGCAGAAAAATATGAGAATTATCATCAATTAAAACACACGAGAGGTCGCAGCTCAACATGTAATGACTAAGAGATGTCTTTAGAGGACTTAAACACAGGAAGTCAATCTGCTCCACAACATTCAGATCGTTTTAACACTAACAAATTGGATGGTTTAAAATGATTCCTTCTTTTTCTTCTAATTGCAATGTATGTCGATGATGTCATTATGCTTTCTCACATGGTATGTTTAAAGGAAGAATGTGCGACTTTCTGATCCAGTAGATGTCGCCCTTGAGCTCCAGCATTAAACCAAAACAAACTGCTGTATGGCCACGCCTCCACTATTCTGAATCCTCCGCTCTCTCTCCACTCGCCACTCACATTAGCACAAAGGAGTCAAGCACAAGTGGTGGACAAAATTGTCCTTTGTTCAAGCTAAAATTTCCTGTGTCCTGCATTGTTGTGTTAGCAGGCTAATGTTAGCGCTCTGTAGCTTCACATTGCACGTAAATTCACACAGAATGACCGTGATCTAAACACCGAAGTTTACTTTTTACTTTAGCCAGCTCTGCATGGGTCTGTAAACCTTTCTGCATTCTAACCTCTCTCCATTTTTCAAAAGCATCTCCAATGTTGATCCTAGTGTATATAGATCCTCTCTTTATAATTTCAGTCAGTAGATATCTTACAAATTCAACCTTTAAGCATTTTGTCAGTTGATATTCAGAGTCAAAATCACCAACTAAGACACATGTTGGCCGTTTCTATTATAGAGTCCTGAAACAGAATCAAGTTATTTCCCTAAATTGAAGCTCTGAAATAACTCCCAACCAACAGTAACTGATTTTTTTTTTTGTTCTTCTTGTTACTCAGAATTCAGATTTTTTGCTCAGATTTCTTATCGTTTAAGTGGCATGTTCTCTTTCTGGCCTCCTTCCATTGCTCTCACTGTCTCTCTTCTCTAATCCCTGTTGTTCTTCATTTGGTCACTTCATGAGTCCTCCACCAGCCTCTTTTTTTTCATTTCCAATTTTCATCTTCTTCTCTCTTTTGCTGTTACACCAACCCACTCTCTCTTTTTTTCTGCTCATTTTCTTTGCTGCTTCTGTTATGCATTGAGGTCTCTGTATCAGCTTTTCCTGCATATTCCTCCTCTCTCTCTCTCTCTCTCTCTCTCTCTCTCTCTCTCCCTCTCGCTCTCTCTCTCTCTCGCTGTCATTTGGTGTTGCTGGGGGGTTAAGAAGTCTGGTGGTGTCACTGGTAATAGGGTCCCTTGGGTGCTCTGTGCACTATAGCTGGGGTCTGGGAGTTGCCTGCATAATACAAAAAGGAGGGCCTCGTGCTCTCCTGTCCTACTTTAAAAAGGTCTGATACGTGTGTGTGTGTGAATGAATGTGTGTGTGTGGACCATGCATCAAACTTTGCAGTAACCAGGAAAGCTGATCTAAGTCGGGGAGTTTAAGTTTCACAATTGAAAAAGGATTGTGAGATTGAGAGTCTGTAGCTGCTCCAGCTGCAGGGATGCAGCCGTGTTGACCTATCGTAGTCAACAGTCAGCAGAGCTACAAAGAAAATCTCTGGGACTTTTGAACTTCAAGTCTTCAATCATTTTAGACATAAACACCTGATTACTTTATCCTGAAATTTAAGTTTACCTTCAATCCTTGTGAATAAATGTGGATATGATGGGCCTTTTTTTGGTCATTGATTGTTTGAATGCTATTGTGTGAAATGGACATGTAAAGTTTTTTTTGTTTCTATTTCTGTAAGTGGACTATTTGCACAAATATTTTTGACTCTTGTTATTCTTTCATGAATGACCAAAATAAAAACATTCATTCTTTCATTCATTCAAAAATAAAATGAGGCATGTACATCCCTCAGTGGGTCCTGGATCCAAAAAACACGAATAGGTGAGGAAAGCAAAACAAGATCAGCCACGAGAAGCTCCTGTTTGAAGGTTTTTATTAAATGTTGTTTGAGCAAACACGCTCTTCCTCAGACTTGACTACTACTGAATGTGGATACGAAGTTTCAATCTGTGAATATTAAGTTTTAAAATTGAAAACATGGAGATTGAATATTCAGTCGTCCAAAGATTCCAGGTACTTCCAGGTCTTTATTTTATTGGTATCACTAACATAATGTAACTTAATAGGAGAGAGGCCATGTTGATTATTAATTGAATTTTACATTAAATTGCTCAAAATTGAATTCCGGCTGCTTCCTTCCTGCTCCTTTCCTATGGCGCTCTTTCATTTCCTTACTCTCCTCACTGTGAGACTTTGTTGTCATGCATCTTTGTTTTTATTACATTATATTTGTTTTTACAAGATATTTTGAGTTCTCCATGTTTTTCTCTTAACAATAAAGTTTTTATATTTCCTCCTCCTCCTACATGTATGTCTGTGGCTCTGCTCCTCTCAGTCCTAATATACTGGTAGTACATACATATCAGCGTTTCTGAGGCAACGCATGAGTAATTCATTGTGTTTGCACAGCGCAGCTTCACTTGTACTTGGCTGTCTCCTCTGGTGGGTTCTTTTTCCAATAATAAAGACAAAGATAGAGGAGACACACAAAGACAGAAAGCAGCCAAAAGGAAGAGGGAGGTGAAAAACATCATCACTGCAGTCTGTACTGACAACCTGCCAGAGTAGATCTCCCAAAATGTGCAATCCTGGTCCCTGAAATACCTGAAACATGGTGTTTGGCAGGAGAGGAGGTATGGCTAGATACAGGAGAAATTTAAACATGATGTAGAAATGGAACCAAGGATAAAACGTCTCCAGTGATCTCATTCGTAAGAATAATGTGATCAAGACTTTGAAACAACGATCCCTGAAAGAGCTCGATGACTGATGTGAAAGTCAAACAGAGCTTTGTCAAGTTAGTTCAAGACAATATGAATGAACTTAACCCAACCTTAGTGCTTTGGTTAGTACGTTACTGTTCAAAACTTTCTGCACGGGTGACATTTTTATCCTTACAAACTAAGAATTCTGTCATGATTTGGTTTTGTATTTTGTATATTTTTCTGAATTTCCCGTTCTACACTAGTGCTGTTGTTTCCCTTGTGTGTTAATGTTTCCCACTGTTGATGGTTTCCTAGTTTTATTTTGTCATTTCTTATCCTCGTGTCTCTCTATGTTCTAGTGTGTTTTTGTTACATTCTTGAGTTCTCTGTCTTCAGTGTTTTTCCTGATTTATTTCATAGTTGTCCTCAGTGTTTCTTGTGTTTAATCCTGCCTCTGTGTGTTTCCATCCAGTGTTGATTGTCCTTATTGTCTTCATCTATGTCATTAGTCTCACCTGTGTTTGATTACCACATGTGTCTATTTAGTCTCAGTGTTCCTTTTCATATGTGGTTTTCCTCGTGCTCCTTGTGGCTCTGTGTGGTTTTGGATCCCTGTGTTTGTCGTTGGCCTGTTGATGGACTTTTGTATTTTGGACACTTTTCAAAGTAAGCCTAGTTTTGGCCTTTTGCCTTTTTGTTTGAATACATATTTTTAGTTGTTCTGCACTTGGGTCTTCCTCCCTTGTTTTACACACCGTTTGTGACAAATTCACTGCAATTAAACCAACAGTGGTGGCAAAACTGTTTTAACACACGTTATGGATAGATGTATGGATGGATGAACAGAGCCATCGATGTGCTTTATAGAATCAAGACTGGGAAATAATGACGTCATTGCAGCAGCAGGTCATCACACCAAAAATACAGAAAGTTGTGAGCAATTATCCGCTGAGTTCACCTGAACCCTGGTGGATGTACTCATGGGGAGGTCAAAACAGCTCAGACATCTCATCCATCCATTATCTTTACCACTATCTCATCGCAGGGGACTGGAGCTGATCCCAGCTGTCATTGGGAAAGGGGCGGGGTTACACCCTGGACTGTTCCCCGGTCAATCTCAGGCCTGACATATAGAGACAGCCACTCTCACATTTAAACCTACGGGCAATTTTAGAATCTCAAATTAACCTTGTGAGCATGTCTTTGGACTGCTAACCACTGCTCCCCCATGCAGCCCTCAGACATCTCATGTCAGAGTATTTGTAAGGATTTTGGGTATTAATGGAGAATCAATGGAAGAGGGGCTTCCCTGCTGTGAGCCCTCTGAGCCCTCTCCCTTTTTCTGCCAAACTGCATTTCAAAGCAGGAAATATCTAGTGACAGTCTGGACAACCTCCTGCGCTGCAAACAGTCATAACCCTGATCTCAATAATCACTGCCCACATTCATGAACTTATGTTTCACCTCTTAAATGAAGCTCTCCGTGAGGCCAACAGTCGCTGGATAATAACAGCTGATTGATCTTTTCAACAGTTAGACGCTCTGTCTGGTCTCTGAGAGAAATCCAAGAATCTCTCAGTGCTTGTAGGACAAAGTATGATACACTTTATTGTCTCCTTTTGGAAATTTGACATACGTTTTGACCGATCTGACTATTACTGTCTTTGCCCTACATCCCTCTCGTCCAGCAGCTGGTGGTTAAGTATCTAAAGTCATTAGTCAGCAAAGATTGTCTTGCTAGCTGGCTCGTCAAATTGTAAAATGTGTTGAAAGGTTAGGGTTGGTTTGTTGACTATCCAGGGATTTTTAGTCTTAGCTGGGAAAGAAAAGGATCTCTTCACTTTATTACTTGCAGAAATTTGCAAAACGCAATCTTCTGACGTCAAAACATTAACCTTCCAAGCTACCATTAACTCAACGAGTCTTTAACCAGGGCTGAAGCTCTACTAGGCTGCTCTTTGGGTGCAGTCGTAGATGTTGCATGTTAGTAATTAGCATACTGATCATATTGCTAAGAGGACGTTTATGGGGACGGGGTTCTTTGTTTTTGTACTCATCTGACGGGGCTGGATGAGAAGCAAAGGAAATACTGCAGGATCAAAAGAATATCATCGGGCAGCCATGTCTGTACCAAAGGATGTGTCTGTCCAGTTCATGTAAAATATTTTAGGAGGGAGTGAAACGTTTTTTACAGTGTCCCACATTGGAAAGATCATCGTCAGTCCAACCAATCCCCAATCACAAACCAGCAGGACTTTAACCAACACCCTCCACCCTGTCATTGTACATCTGTCTGTATACAATGTTATGGGCTGTGTTTAATGTGTGGCTCTTAACTGGTCTGTTTGGAGACGCTTTAAATGTCTGATTTCTGAAAGTGTGTTGGAATAATAACTCAGCTTTTTCTTTTTGTTTCACACAGGACTCAGAACCTGGACTTCAGTGGAACAGAAGAGTTTTTCAGCCTCTCTACTACGCCCCCACCCCATCCCAGCTCAGTTAAGACTTATAACTGGTTTAACATTTGGTGGTTTACTTGGGAAAGTTGTTATTAGAATGCACAGTGATTGATTGAGAACAGCCAGAGTCGCACAATTGCAACAGACCACTGTATACAAATACCTTAAAGTTGCAGCGTGACAAGTCAGAATAACTTCACAAGGACGGCTGTTCACTCAGAATGTTTCTGAAAGTTTACAAATGTGTTGATAATGGTTAATGCTGTTTTGCAATGCACAATGCAAAACTCAATCTAACGCCTCAGACTGTGAGTGTCAGTGCAACGAAGCCATGCAGGAAGACCTTAATGCAGTGGTCACCAACCTCTTTTAGCTCGTGACCCCCCCTTTGACTTGAAAAAGCTATAGCGAACCTACACATCCAGCTTTTTGCTAAGAATTCATTTTTTTCCCCATCATGTAAAAGTTTTTTTTTACTGTGTTGCAATTAAACATTCATCTTGCAGCACTTTCAGGCTTTTTGGTGTTTATTATTGTCGACAGAAGAAGAAAGGCTGGGATGATGTTTCTGCTCAATGGATGACAATTTAGGGTTAGGGAATTTTGAAAAAAAATAATCTTTGTATCATGAGTAGCTGAGAGCAGAGGTTTGAAACATCCTGTCTTTTAATCAATGACTTCCTGACTGTCCTTTTGATATCCAGTCACCTGGGGGCATCTCACTGTTTTACGAGGAGACTGTTTGACATTAGGAGCTTAAGATTGGAAATGCCTGCCCTAATGAACATTAAATGTGTTGGAATATATGTTTAGTCAATGGTAAACAAAGTGATCAGAAATATGTGTTTCAAAATTAATATGATCCTAAATAACCTCCGGTCAGGTCAGGATGTTTCATTGGCTCCTTGTGGGGTGAGTTTCATTGGCTCCTTGTTAAAACGAGACGTCCAATAAATCTAGCTGTGATGGACCTGAAACACGTCGTGCTTGTTTACCTAATCAATACCTTTTGGTCTTCATGTTCACCAGAGACACAGTTATACGGACCATCCAAAAAATCCTCCTGCACTCTGGTTAAAGCACTTTCATTTTCCAGAAATTTCATGCGGCTGAAATACGTCTACAAGAAGACCTAATTGAATCTGGATCTCATTAAGATATCAGATGGTCCTCTGCCTGAATTTTATACACAACCTGTCTCTTTTTTATTTCATTCCATTACTTTTTACATCCCTCAAAAGTATTATTATAGACTCAGTCTGCATTAATAACGAATGGAATAGAAAACCTTCTTTCTTAACGAAATTTCAGTCTTTGGTTTCTAACTTATTCTGTCATGTCTTTATTTATTGAATCATTTGAAGTCAGAGTCTGTCAATTAAGATTTCATTGCTTCCCTTGGCTCATCAGAAGCTTTATCTTTTTTTCAAAATCCTCCAGTGAACCGCACCTTTAACCTCTCTTTTAGTCATAAAAAGTTATTAGCTGGCGGCCCTAGATACTGATTGCATAACTAAGGTCTGCCTCTGTGAATCACATGTCAATTTCATGCAGATTTCCAGTGTAAACTGCATGAAGGATTGGATCAAATCAGCATGGGCACGTATCCGACACACATCAAGGACACCTCAAAAGGTTGGACGTTTTCCATTTGAGGTGTTCTCCTGACTGTTCCCCCGCCATCGCAAATATAAAAAACACAGAGATAGAAAGAGGGCGGAAAAATGAAAAAAAGCTTTATTTTTATTGAATTAATTCAACTGAGAAAGAAATCCCATTTCCCCTTTGGGCTTAGCCGCCTATCAGAGGAGACAATGTAACAAGAGTCTTAGTGCAACTGAGTCTGAGACGGGTCAAAAGTCCCGGGGGGTCAGGTGGGTTTTATCACCACAAAAGTCTTATCTGACATTTGTCACAAGGACAGGCCTCGAAAGATAATTGGAATCCTCTCTCCCCTCCTGATTTTTCCCTCGTCTCTCTTCACAAACACACATCTCCTGCACATTTATCTCAACGCACTTAGTGTGTGGTGAAGTTGGTCTGCAAGCCCTGCCTTCAAATCTCTCAATATCTTATCTTCAAAGTGAGACGCCCACGGTTGGCATTTTAAGACGACACATACCGACCGCGGCACACACTCAGATAACTGCCGCTACTACTCACTGTCACTCACAATGGCCCACACACAAGCTGTGTGTATAAGTGAGAGGAGGCGAGGAAGCGGCTCTTATTTGTAAGAAGAAGCTGAGAGAGCCGAAGACGGTGTGTTCCTGCATGCTTCCTACGCGACTCACTATTTTATGCATGAGTTAATGCATCTTCTGTTTGTACCGCTATGTGTGTTGTTTTTGTGTTTCTGCTGGTGAAGCGATGGTAAACACTGATTATGCAGTAATGCTGGGGTTGTCAGGAAGCCAGCGGGCAGCCTGGTTTTAGCCGCAGCGGGAGGCGGCTCCAGCATCACTATTATAACAGTTCCAAACAGACAAATATGCCGGTCTGGACAACAGGCTTTCTTTTGGTACATTTTTATGTCGCTCTGAGTGGACTTCAGTCTGTCTTTAAAAAGAATGCCACTTCTTTTTAATTGCCAGGGCGAGCCGTGTGAAAGCACTTCACCTTGAGGTGTTTTATAACTGGGATTAGCTGACCGAGAGTTCTCAGAGATCAAATAAAGACACACTTTGTGTCTTTCCAACCAATAGTTTTTTATTTTTTTATTTTCCTCTTTCCACTTACAGCGGCCCTGACTTCTTAATGCACTGCCACAGAAGAAAACACGAGCAAATAAAGAACGCGTCTTTGCCGAACATCATTGAGAGAGAATCACTGCAAACACTAAACTCAAGGACATATTAAGAAACTCTTTCACATGACAACAACCAACTACACAGCAACTCACTCAGGTTGGGATTACAGGATTCAACTTTTCTCCTCTCAAAATAAAACGTAATTTTTATAGCACCTTTGAAAACAAGAGTTAAAGTAGTTTGGCAAACATCAAATCTGACACAGAGACTCACGGTATGGAGCAAACACAGACTCAGAGGGAGAGTTATAAATCAGTCCTTTAATGCAGGCAGAGTTCGGTACACGGTAAGGCAATGATAAACAAATCCAGAGGGCTAGGCAAAGCAAGGTCAAAAAGGCAGCGATGGTCATAACAAGGATCAAGAACTAATAATGCTGGAACGAGGGAACACAGAGAATACAACGAACTGGCAACAAGAGGGAGAACACACAGGGATTAAATACACAGACAATCAGGGACCAACGAGACACAGGTGAGGGTAATCAGGGCGTAGCTGACACACAAGGCGGGAACAAGAGGGGCAGGATCTAATGCAGACTGAAACCCTAGTCAAAATCTGGAAACAAAGAAAAGGAATACATGCAACATTTATAACAGTGTTGGGGTGAGATGTTGCAAAGTCATCTGTTAAAGTACTTTAATACAATACTCAGTATCTTAAAGGTTTATTTTTGGGCTTTTCATGCCTTTATTGTTGAGATAGGACAGTGGATAGAGTCAGAAATCAGGCAGAGAGAGAGGGGAATGACATCTGGGAGAGAGCCACAGGTTGGATTTGAACCTGGGCCGCCTGCTTGGAGGAGCAGCAGCCTCCATGCATGGGGCGTGCACACTAACCACTGCGCCGCCAGCGCCCCCTGCATCAACATTTTAACCAATAACAAACGTGAGCTGTCTGAAATCAATTCCCTGCACAGCTAGTTTATTTAGTGAACAGTCGAACATAACTTACGTCACCTAGTTGAGCCGTAACCGAGGCAACGGCTCCTGTTTCTTAGAAAGTTCAAGAGTGCAAAGAGTCAGTGTGTTTGAGGAAGCCGAGTTCATTTCACAGGAGTCCGTGCTGCTTTGTTTGATGTGTTCTCGCTGCCAGAGAGGACATTAATTCCTGATGAGTGAAAGCATCTTCTGACGTCTTAAAAACAGCAACAGACAGCGAATTGAATTATCCGTCAAACAGCCTAGCATTACCACTACCGCAAATGTCATTATAAAGAGCCAAAAAATAGAGCGAATACTGCTGACTGCAAAAAGAGAATGGAGCCTGACAGGAAGGTGTGTGAGTCAGAGACTGATAAAGAATAAGCTGCTCTGGAAGACAGAATAATGATGCATACAAACATGTTATAGATTGTGCTTTCTGTGAAGAATTGCACATATTTGTTTAGGAAGTCTGTAAGAATAAGTCATATGCTATATTTAGTCAGACACTTTAGTTAATGGACACATGACAGCAGATGAGTTTCTACGTTATATATCTACAATTCTACTATTCATTTGAGACGCTTTTATCTAAAGTGACGTACATCAGAGAGCAAGAACAACACGAGGGAGGAAACAATGACAGAAAGTGTGAACGAAAAGCTTTAAGTCTGATCGGAGACATAGGTGCTGACAGGAAGTGACCAGAGGCAGAGCACAACATCGACAGCTGTTCTTCAGGGTTCTAACCAGCATCAAAACCATCCTAAAATATCATCATCATCATCATCATCATCATCATCATTAAGGTCGTAGGTGTTCATAAAGAGCTGGGTCTTTCTCTTTCTCTTAAAGGTGCAGAGGGACTCTGCAGATCAAATGGAGTTTGGTTGTTCGTTCTACCACCGGGGGGCGGCAGAGGAGAAGAGTCTAGTCAGCGTCTTAGGACCCTGTTGTGAAGGTTGGATCAGACGCCTTTCATTGGCAGAGCGTAGAGGGGCGGGAGGGAGTGTAGACCTGGATCAGAGAGTTAAAGTGAGGAGGAGACGTTTTTGTCGCTGTCCTGTAAGCGAGCAGCAGAGTTTTAAATTTCACTCGAGCAGTAACTGGGAGCCAGTGGAGGTAGATGAACAGCATTGTTGTCTGCTCTTTTGGGTAGATTGAAGACCAGTAACGCTGCTAAATTTTGGATCATCTGCAGGTGTTTGTGCATGTAGTGCATGTAGGAAGACCTGCCTGTAGGGAGTTGCAATAGTCAATGGCTGATATCAGGAGCTGTGTGGCCCAGCATAAAGGGACCAATATGATCATTCATCCGAGCCCTTGATGAAAGTCTAATCTGACCTTTGACTCCTCTCTGCTAAATCCTAATAAATAGCACTTTAGATGCTTTACAGTTTTAGCATGTTGCTATCAGTGTCAACCTGCCATTTGGAACCGTGCAGGGAATGATATTAACAGCTGACTAATGCAGGGTAAATGTTTGCTGTGGCAGGTAGTAAAATTCAGTTCATTATTTGGCTATGGCACACAAGGTTTTCCTCTATTAACCACAAGAGACGGGGTACACTGTGGACTGGTCGCCATCAAACACAGTGCTAACATATAGAGACAGACACACTCACATTCTCACCTACAGGCAATTTAAGGTCACCAGTTAACCTAACGAGCATGTCTTTGGACTGTGGGAGGAAGGGACTAGGGTTACCCGGAGAGAACCAACACATGCACGGGGAGAACATGCAAACTCCACACAGATTCGAACCATCTCGCTGTGAGGCAACAGCGCTAACCACCATGCAGCCTACAGCTCAACTCAACTGTGAACTACACAACAAATAAAGCACAAATGATGTAAAACTAATCTTAAAGTCAAAGACTGAAATTGAAAAAAATTAAAGTAAAGCAGTCAGGCATTGAATGTATTCTGAAATTAAGCGTTGTTGAAGGCCTGTGTTTGTGGCTGAGCACGAGGACATCGACCATAATCAACTCTGCGCTGTGTAGCAACTTTGTTCTGCTTCCATTTCACCCTGGCTGATTCTTCATTAGCGTCGTCCGCACAATAGAATGCAGAGTGAGAGGAGATCAAACTGCGTCCTGTTTCCACTGTTTATCATTATCTGCTCCAGCGCCTCT